TCTCTCTCTCTCTCTCTCTCTCTCTCTCTCTCTCTCTCTCTCTCTCTGCTGAGGATTAAGACCTGGGCTCCTTTTGGGAAGGGGAGGGGAGGCTCCAAGGTGGATTTGGTGAGGGGTGTTTCCAGCCTGTTGGGGGGAGAAAAGTGAGGTCTTGACTTCTGAAGGGTGTTTTGCCTCCTGGATGTTGCCCCTCTTTTTCTATTCAAGTCCCTTGCCTTATTTTGCTTGTTCCTATTTTTTTTCCTGGCAAGCACAGGGGGGGGTGTCTGTGAGTCCTTTACACCCAACACATCCCTTGATAACTGGGTCCCATCCCGGTGAATTCTCCTTTGCCAGCAGTTTAAACTTGGCTGGGGGGGTAGGAAAGAAGGTGGGGGAAGGAAGGTCCTGGAGTTGGCGATGCCAACGGGGAGAGCGGTTTCTGTTTTTTAGCAGGAAAAAAAAGGGGAAACTTCGGGCTTAAGTGAAAACTCCACAGCCTGTTGGGGTGTGTGTGTGTGTGTGTGTGTGTCATGAATGGAGAAGTCACTTGCGTTCTCGACACTATTCCACCCCTGGTGAAATGCTCCAGACTTTGGCCTGTTTTTCTCTGGCGAAGAATACTTCCCTTAGCAATTTCAGAAAGTTGGGAACGTGAGTATATTAATGATGGGGAAAAGAAAGGCGTGTCTCACCTCTGGGGAATATCATAATAATACAATATAATAGATTTGTTTATAGGTTTATTTGAATGGTTGGCCCTTGGAAAGGGAGAAGTTAGAAAGTTAGTTTTTTTGACATGCTTTGGTTTGTATGATCGTGGTTGCTCTCTTCTCTCCTTCCTTCTGCCTGAGCAGAGAGCAGCTTCCTCTTGTAGTTTTTAAAACTTCCTTCTTTTCCTTTTTCCTTCTTTTCCTTTTTCTTTCCTTCCCTTTTTCCTTCCTTCCTTCCTTTCCATACCTTCCTTCCTTCCTTCCTTTCTTTCTTTCTTTCTTTCTTTCTTTCTTTCTTTCTTTCTTTCTTTCTTTCTTTTTTCTCTCTCTCCTTTCTTCTTCTCCTTCCTTCCTTCCTTCCTTCCTTCCTTCCTTCCTTCCTTCCTTCCTTCCTTCCTTCCTTCCTTCCTTTTTCAGTTGAACCTGGCCATTGCATGAAGCCTATTGCATCCTATGCAATCCCCTTCCCCAAATAAAGCCAGAGGAAGAAAAAATACCTGTTTTTGAGATTATTGATAAAATAACTTGCAGCCGCTTTTACTGCAGTGCACGAAAAGGAAAAACGGGAGCGTAAGTGTTGGAAATATGAGGGGCGGCAAACTAATTGGAACCTGTAAGTGCAATTTTAGAGCTATTTATTTAGACAGAGGAGGGTCTGATATCGCGGGTGGCCTTGAGTTTCAAAACATGATGTTTTAGTTTGGGAATTCTTAGCAGATCTACGGAGCCCATATTCCCAAGACTGTCCCAAAATACAGTATTTTGTAAATAAGAGTATTTGTTCGAGAACTCCACTCTTGAATTAGGTGGAGAAGTTCCCTTCATTGGAATTTCTAGAATTTTAATTTGCAATCCTTGACTCTGTTTAAAACAATGTTTTAGTTTTTTTAAAAAACTTTCTAAGCCCCACCTTTATAAAGATGTTTATTATTTTTCCCCACCACCCAAATATTGGAAGCTTAGCAGGGAAGGGAAAGAGCTGTTTTGTCCTGCGAGTTAGCTTGTTGGGCCAGATGTTTTGCAAATAACATCTATTGAGAGGAGAAAGGTTATTCTTTAACAATAATAATAATAGGTTTGGGCTGTTATCGTGACTGAAGTCTTAACGATCAGGCTATTCCCATCCAAATTGTTCTCCTTTGCACATTGCTGGCCTTGTATTCCTCTTTTGAAGGAGTTTCCCCGGTTTTTAATACTATCTCTTCCGCTCCGCTGAAACGGCCCCGCATTTATACCAGACCGAAAAGTATTTGCCGCTTGTGTTTCCACGAACGCTCGAATGCTCTTTGCAAAATCCAGCAAGAAGCTTTTTCTGCCTGGCCGCTGCGGTTTCTTTTTTTTTTTCTTCCTTTTTTTGCACAAGTTTGGTGTGCCTCTGAACACACACCAGCTTGAGCTGTGAAGCTGGGCATTGTCTCCTTTAAGGATCTGAGATGACAGCTGCCCACACACACACACACACACACACACACACACAAAACGCTAATTGAAAGCCAGTGCAAGTCTAAATGGCTTTAATTCATTGGAAAGTCCTAATAATATACATAATGCCTTGCTAGGGTTGTGTGGCCTTTGTGAGGCTTTAGAAGATCGTAAAAATTAATGAACTTCTGTAGAGGAGGAGGAGGAGGAGAGGTGCCTGGAATTGCAGTTTGTTTCTAGGCTATTTTTTTTTTTAAAAAATAAAGTTTTTGTTCTGGGAAAATTTAGTTTTTGCCTCCAGAAGTTGTGGATGCGCCATCCTTGGGAGATTTTTAAGAAGAGACCACACGGCCACTTTGTCTGGAATGGTATACGGTTTCCTGCTTGATCAGGGGGTTGGACTAGAAGACCTCCGAGGTCCCTTCCGACTCTGTTATTCACAATTGGCTCTCTTGTTTAAGCAGCCTGGGGGAAGTTTATGTCCAGATGTAGACTTGTTCCTCTTCTCCACTCAGACTGTTTTCTCTTGGGCCGAGAAAACGAAGGAAGGAATGAAATGGTTTTGCAGGTAACCGTATCTTCCACAGATAGCAATCTTCATCTGATTCCTAACCTTCCGCCGACAGTTCAGGTCCTGCAACTCGGCCGGCTCTTGAAGCGCCTAGCTGGAGTCCTCCTCCTCCTCCAACTCTTCGTTGGGCCACTTTCCCTATTGCCCAAAACACAGCCCAACCTTGAAATGTGTTCCTTCTTTGCTGGGAAGGGGGGAAACTAAATAACACTCCCTGGGAGGAGGAAACCTATGTAGGCCATTCAACAGAAGGAAGAAGCGGATTGCACGGGCCGCTTTCCCCCCATATACGCCGCCGCTTTTCCCCGTATACTCCCCC